TTAATGTATGTTATGCAACTAGAGTTGGACGATATAGGGAATGTATTTGCAATAATATATCTGGCAATATCAAATTTAGAATCCTAGATGCTTTTAAAACACTTTTATTTGGCTGTTAAGTTTGTTTAAGATCATTAAAGTAGTTCCACAATTCTTCTTTGTCTTGCAATTTGTGAGTATGAGAACGCTAAGACAAATATTTGAATAGCATCTAGGATTTAACAGTAGCAAATATAGCTAGTGGGTTAACAAAAATAAAATAATATAAATAAAATAAAATAAAAACATAATAAAATAGATAAATACATATTTTTTAAAAAGTACAAAATAAAAGTACAAAATAATTTTAAAATAGATTTATTGAATTTTTACATTTTATTATTATTTTTTAATTACAATATCGATGATAATGTTTGACTAATAATAACTTAAATTGGATATCACCAAAAGTCTAAAATATATCATTTTTTTTCTATATCGTCCAATATGCAACCACTGTCCTAGTTTGAAGCCCGCATTCATCTGATTGCTCATTCCCAAATGCAGAACATAGAAAATACATGGATACATGGGAGAGAACAACAACAGGATGGGGGATGGAGTGCTTACAGATCTTTCCTTCTAGAGAAGGACTCCACAGCCGTCTGTACACTGTGTGAAGAAGGAGACGCAGTCAGAGACACACAGGAGTGGAGCGGATAACTAAAGTGGTTGGAGGTACGAGCAAAGCAAGCATATCGAATTTTCAGTGAAGTCTAAGCAGTCTGGTGGAGAAGATCAAAGTCTTGAACTCTGATACATCGGACTGCCTTTTACTATGGGTGTCGAAGGAGGAAGGCATTATTGAAGCGCTTCTAGTAGCAAAGTGTAGCCTTGATTTTGCACAGTTAGGAAAATTTCTTCACATTTCAGCTCAACTGAAAAAGAATGAAAGCAATTACAAAGTAACAGCAAGAAGTAAAACTTCAAACCCAAAGGGAAGAAAAAAAAAAAATCTACTGTTTTCTTCCCTTTGGTTTTGAAGTTTTACATCTTGATGTTATTTTTAGAACATCAAGAAGTCAATAAAAAATGTGCATATACATACTGTACATATGGAGTTGAGTTTGCTGAAAAATAAATACAATTAAATGCATAATAAAATAAGCAAACCTAAAACAAAAAATGTCAAAAACAAACAAAAACCCCTAAATAAAATAAAATAAAATAAAGCAATTCCAACATAAATTGTAAAGTTAGATTAGCTGAAAAACAAAATAAAAACAAACAAAAAACCCTGAATTAAATGGAATAAAATAAAATGGAATAAAAAATTAAGATAAAGATTAAAATAATCAACCTCAATGGAATAAAATGTTCCTGAAAAAAACAAAACGCAACCCCCACCCAAAACAAAAAAAAACAAAAAACAAAAGAAAAATGTATGATGATTCTTAAATTATTTGGAACGAACCAATCACAATCTTGAATACTATTTAGTTTGTATAGTATACAAACTGGTTTGCAGACAATTTCCCCTTGCTATCCGAGACACTGGAACAGAAACAAAAAAGAAAATGGAAAAGGTCAGGCGCACGTCACTAGTGATACCTTTCTGTGTCACTTTCATCGCTGGACTCCACCTCCTCCAGCGCGGCTTGTAGATCAACAATTCGCCGGATTGATGTCTCTAGATCAGCTTGCAGGGTCTGTCTTACTGCGCTAAGCTCTTCCACTTGCATTTCCTGGAAACAGATAAGACAAGATCAAATCAGATAACCCGCAACAGTCACGCTGGATCTCCAGGGGAAATAAAGACCCTACATCAGGACAGGAGAAGTGTGCCCAATTAATTAACTGCTTGCTAAGGCCAGCATCGTTATTAAACTTTATATCAAAAAACCTAAAAATCTACCTAATTATATAAAGGCTAAGATGTTATAGAAATGAAGCATTCAGAGTTGTTTTTATCCTTTTAACTTTAAAGGGATAGTTCACTCAAAAATGAAAATTCTGTCATTAATTACTCATCTTCATGTCGTTCCAAACCTGTAAGACCTTCGTTCATCTTCGGAACACAAATTAAGATATTCTTGATGGAATCTGAGAGCTGTCTGACCCTGCATAGACACCAACGCAACTGAAATGTTCCCAAGTCCAGAAACGTAGCAAGGAGATCTGTAAAATAATCCATGTGACATCAGTGGTTCAACCGCAATTATACGAAGCTACGAGAATACTTTCTGTGCGCAAAATAACAACTTTATTCAACAATTCGTCTCCTCCTCATCACCCTGGTGCCATTTTGGAGAATATCCGCTGGACGTAAACAATGTATGCTGTTCTGTGTCAGCTGCTTTATTCTCCAAAATGGCACCAGGGTGATGCGGAGGAGACGAATTGATGAATAAAGTCGTTATTTAAAATTTTTTTTAGTATTCTTTTTAGTAGCTTCGTATAATTGCGGTTGAACCCCTGATGTCACATGGATTCTTTTACAGATCTCCTTGCTACGTTTCTGGACTTTTCAGTTGCGTTGGTGTCTATGCAGGGTCAGACAGCTCTCAGATTCCATCAAAAATCTCTTCAATTCTGTTCCTTCACAATTCCTTCTCATTCAGTAATTAATGACAGAATTTTCATTTTTGGGTGAACTATCCCTTTAATAGAATACAGTATACTGATGAAACAAATGTCTAGAACATGTTTCATTCATCCAAACAATTTCTAACATAAAGAAATTATATATTTTTTAATCTTTGTATTATCGTTTTTTTGGCAAGCCTTTCTCTTTAACTTCTGAAGTGCTTGTTTGCTAAAGGACAATCCTGTGTTATTGATCGCCAGCTCTTGTTTATAGAATAATTTGATAATGAGCGCTGGAGAGCCAGCGGAGCGACTGATTACACGATTCATTTTCCTCTTCCCTTCTTTGTACGTCCCCAGTCTCTTGCTCTCCTGGACGAGCCGCCACTGTCTGTCTATGATTAATTCCCATTGTCTCCTCAAGGTTATTGATACAACAAATCCCATTCTGCTCCTCTCATCTCCATGACAACCACCCCTTCGCTGTTGCCCCCTCCCTTTCATAACCAATAACCTGGAGAGCCTCAGCATGTGTGTCTGCGCATCGGGAAGAAACACATCCCAGACTCCAGTTTTTGTGTATGCGCCAGGCATCGCTAACACTGTAGCTAATATTCATAACACTGAATGCCTTTGACTCTCAGCACGCAGGTCAAATTGCATTACACGCCGGCAGGTGCTGTAACGACGCAGGGCCACCTCCTTTGTGTTAAATTATAAATATTTACAGGTTTTTCAGGAGAGATCGGTGTATTCTCATGGGTAATAACATGTCAGGCTTGTGGGCGGCCACTAAGGGGAAAATGCACCGAGCGACTGTAAATGTGTTCAATGTGCCGAGGAGTTTCACAAAAGCAGTTCAAGCAGCTCTATTCTGGAAAAGGGGGCGGGGAGCAGCAGCTAATTTGCATTTAAAGAGACAGGCCCGGAAAACAGCGTGTTTCTGCTTCCACTCAAAATAGGCATTTTCAAAATGATATAATAAATGATCTGTGGATTATTTTGAGCTGAAACTTCACATACACATTCTGGGGACACCAGAGACTTATTACATATTGTAAAAAGGGGCATAATATGTCTTATTTAATGCTTTGTGTCTAAATACGTATATATTTTATTATTTATTATTAATGGAAACATAATACATGGGTCACTGAAATGAATGAATGAATGAATGAATGAATATATATATATATATATATATTTTTTTTTTTTTTAAATAATTAGAATGTTTGACTAAAAATTTGACATCTATGAAAGCCTAAAAAATTAAATTTTTTTCTACATCGTCCAGTCCAATATGCAGCCACTGGCCTACTTTGAAGCCTACATTCCTCCGATTACTCATTCCCAAATGCAGAACCTAGTAAATGAACACGGATACATGGGAGAGAACAACAACAGGATGGGGGATGGAGTGCTTACAGATCTTTCCTTCTAGAGAAGGACTCCACAGCCGTCTGCACACTGTGTGAAGAAGGAGACGCAGTCAGAGACACACAGGAGTGGAGCGGATAACTAAAGTGGTTGGAGGTACGAGCAAAGCAAGCATATCGAATTTTCAGTGAAGTCTAAGCAGTTAAATACAATTAAATGCATAATAAAATAAGCAAACCTAAAACAAAAAATGTCAAAAACAAACAAAAACCCCTAAATAAAATAAAATAAAATAAAGCAATTCCAACATAAATTGTAAAGTTAGATTAGCTGAAAAACAAAATAAAAACAAACAAAAAACCCTGAATTAAATGGAATAAAATAAAATGGAATAAAAAATTAAGATAAAGATTAAAATAATCAACCTCAATGGAATAAAATGTTCCTGAAAAAAACAAAACGCAACCCCCACCCAAAACAAAAAAAAACAAAAAACAAAAGAAAAATGTATGATGATTCTTAAATTATTTGGAACGAACCAATCACAATCTTGAATACTATTTAGTTTGTATAGTATACAAACTGGTTTGCAGACAATTTCCCCTTGCTATCCGAGACACTGGAACAGAAACAAAAAAGAAAATGGAAAAGGTCAGGCGCACGTCACTAGTGATACCTTTCTGTGTCACTTTCATCGCTGGACTCCACCTCCTCCAGCGCGGCTTGTAGATCAACGATTCGCCGGATTGATGTCTCTAGATCAGCTTGCAGGGTCTGTCTTACTGCGCTAAGCTCTTCCACTTGCATTTCCTGGAAACAGATAAGACAAGATCAAATCAGATAACCCGCAACAGTCACGCTGGATCTCCAGGGGAAATAAAGACCCTACATCAGGACAGGAGAAGTGTGCCCAATTAATTAACTGCTTGCTAAGGCCAGCATCGTTATTAAACTTTATATCAAAAAACCTAAAAATCTACCTAATTATATAAAGGCTAAGATGTTATAGAAATGAAGCATTCAGAGTTGTTTTTATCCTTTTAACTTTAAAGGGATAGTTCACTCAAAAATGAAAATTCTGTCATTAATTACTCATCTTCATGTCGTTCCAAACCTGTAAGACCTTCGTTCATCTTCGGAACACAAATTAAGATATTCTTGATGGAATCTGAGAGCTGTCTGACCCTGCATAGACACCAACGCAACTGAAATGTTCCCAAGTCCAGAAACGTAGCAAGGAGATCTGTAAAATAATCCATGTGACATCAGTGGTTCAACCGCAATTATACGAAGCTACGAGAATACTTTCTGTGCGCAAAATAACAACTTTATTCAACAATTCGTCTCCTCCTCATCACCCTGGTGCCATTTTGGAGAATATCCGCTGGACGTAAACAATGTATGCTGTTCTGTGTCAGCTGCTTTATTCTCCAAAATGGCACCAGGGTGATGCGGAGGAGACGAATTGATGAATAAAGTCGTTATTTAAAATTTTTTTTAGTATTCTTTTTAGTAGCTTCGTATAATTGCGGTTGAACCCCTGATGTCACATGGATTCTTTTACAGATCTCCTTGCTACGTTTCTGGACTT